GATCATATCTAAATCTTTATTTGGGGCATGTTGATAAGGCTTTACTATATGTGTACATGGGGCATTTGAACTTCTATATTTGAGACACGCAAACCTCCACCACCACCCTCCCAACCTTGCCCATAGGCCTCAGCCAGGCCATCATGCATTATTCATGCGAGTTAAGTAAGCTACATTTAATTTCCCCAATCATCTGTTGGCATGGCTTGTAATGAGATGCTGAGAGTGGAGAAACCTGAACTCCCAGAGAGGGGGAGAGAAGGAGGTAGAGAGAAGGAGGGAGAGAGAAGGAGAAAGAAAAATAGTGAAAGAGAGAGGCGCTTAGGATTCAGTGCAGAGATAAGAACCTATCTCCATCACCCAGCACTCGCTCATGTTTTTGGTCTTGTTTGGTTTCTATTGATGTGCATTTTAATTTGTCTCATTCTTTTGTCTTTTAATCTGATGCCATCAGCACAGGACTGGAGAGGGTATCTGGAGAGACAAAAAGGAGGAAAACAGAGAGATGTGGAGAACCAACGTGCATTTGTCTGTGAGTGAATAGTAATAGTAAGTAATAGTTAGAGTACCACAATGTAACAGAATCCATTAGAAAAGATGTCTCCTTTTTGTCCGTTTGTGACAGCAGGAATTGATAGTTGTAGATTGACATGTTAGTAAGTCTAGGCAGAATATTGTAGTTCAATGGAAAATTACACAAAGAGTATGGACATGGTTAGTTACATTTTCGGTGCAGTGTGAAAAAAAAAAAAATGCAGAAATCATTTATTTTTCAACACTCAAAAAGGTCCAGTGTGTAGGATTTAGCGGCATCTAGCGGTGAAGTTGTTACTAACTGAACACCACTGGCATCTGTATTTTTAGAGCTGTGTGAAAAGAGTAGCAGAATCTATGGGGCTGCAAAACTTAAAAAACACATAAGGCCCTATCTAGAGCTAGTGTTTGGTTTGTCTCGTTTGAGCTACTATAGAAACACTGCGGTTCAACATGGCAGACACTGAAGTGTAATGGGTCTCAAGCATTTTGAGTATTTTGAATATGGTCACATATCGATAGCGATAAACACTCTATAGCATTAGTTATATTCTGGCAAGGAGTATCTGCAGTCAGAGGGTGCCAGTTTGTTTTTGTCTCGCTCTGCTAACCGTCACATTCAGGTGATGTCATCGTAAATCGACTTCAATTGAACAATGTTTGCATTGACACTAACCGCTACCCTTTTAACTTGAATAACCCTGTTAAGCTGACTAGCATGCTGTGCTGATAGACAACAACTGTTGCACGGCCAAAACCTTCTGAGTAAAACATCATTTATCATCATCATTTATATCCACCTAAAATGTGGGCAGACATTTCCCCAGATGCAGGCTACCATGGTTAACTAGTCCCTCCGGGAAGTTGCGATGTTTACACAAATTCAACCAATCTCTGAGAATTCTGTGCAACCTTTCAGTTTTGTCCAATCACTGGGGCTGGGTACCGAACTTTGATACTTTTATGGCACCGACTGAATTGCGTCGATAATAGAGTATGGAAAAATGGTCAAAGTCAAGGTATCAGTACCGAAGATTTTTCAATCATACCCAGCCCTACCAATCACTACAACTTTTCCGCAAATTTGACACATCACTGTAGTTTCAGCGAGGTACAATTATAGCAGTCACCCACGTAAAATGTTGAACCATATGTCATCAAACAACTAGCAATTTTATCCGCACTGGAACAAGTGGCTTTTGATTTTTAATGAATTATACAAAAAAAAATCTATCAACAGTTCTTGAGTTTTTGTATAGTTCAATACTGTACAGATATTCAGTTTTATTTTTAGTCATCATTTTAGTCCAGTTATCCAGGTTGAATAAACTCTACAGGGACTGGTTAAGCTCCAGGTAGAGCAGAATGACAACAGCTGAGGAGCTTGACTTTTAAAACTGTAAAGCACACAAGAACTCGTTCTTAATGGTTATCGAGCATTTACTGCACGTTACATAGGAGTTTAATGTAGTGTGGAGCCACAGAGGAATCAAAGCAGAACTTAGCTAGCTTCAGAGTGCAAAAAGCAGTCCATCTGTTCTCTCATTGCAGGGCATGTTCCTCCACTCATTTGGCAGACTTCAGAGTGCCCCCGTGCTTGTTCTGTGATATAGTCTAATTGGCTGTGAATAGCCCCTCGGTTCACTCAGGGCAGCCTTTGATGAGCCTGGAAGACTGGCTGCTTAAGTGGCTTTTGAGTGAAGCTCTTCACGAGAGGCTGAAAGCAGCCTGACTGCTCTGCTGCGAGCTGAACGCAAACAGGACGACGGGGAAGATGAGATGCAGAAACAAGAGCTTATTAACTGTGCAGTCAAACGTGACCCTTGTGACAAGAACCAAACATACAGCTAGGTCAGGGGGCGCCGAGATGAAGACTTCATCTGAGACAAAGACTTTGACTATTATGTCATTTTAAAGCCTGTTGCTGGCACTGATATATACACTCCATCCAGTTCGTAAAGGTCCACTTAGATCAATGTAACCTAATCCAACAGTCCAGCAATAAACCTTCATGAAGGTTCTAGTAAAACGGTTTTGATACGGGATCATGATACGTCGATAACAAGAGGCGAGACAAACAGCGGTACAGAGCTGCATTCAAAACTTTACCATGGTATTGAATCGGTATCGAGAATCATGGAATTTCACTGGTACAGGTATTAACTAATACATTTCTGGTATCTGACATGCCGAGCCCCTTTCCTACCACAAAGCAGTGTTTGGAAAAGAGGAAACGAAAGGAGTGGAACTGAGGGGCATGAAAGCAATGATGAAAGTGAACCCCAAAGCTGAGGACATTGTTGACAAAAAAAGTGACATGATGTCAATCATATTGAAGTGGTCTGGATATCTCGAAAGTGCAGAATAAGACGGTCTGCAATATAGGGATGTCACAATAACCAATACTTCAGTACTATGATGTACTCATGTGACGTGGCCCACCTGCTGATATTAAAACGGAATTGAGGGTGAAAAGAAGCGTGAGTTGTGTTTTTTGGGCGACTTTATACTGCTGAAGAAAGTCAACAGAGACACATACACAGGGAGAGGGAAACAGACAGAGGCGGGGCGGAGCAAGCCGGTGTGTATGTGTGTGTGGAAAAGAGTACTGAAGGGAAAATCAAGGTGAGAAGAAAAAGCTGTGAATAAAAAGTAGTAAATTAAGTTAATAAGAAGGCATCTATTAGAAAAGAGGCCACAGTTGCTATTTTTTTGCTATCGAGAATGGTGAAATTTCACTTTATTGGTATCGACTACTACATCTCTGGTATCGTTACATGCCTACTGCAATATATGACATTTTGGTGCCAACCAAGATGGGAAACAAGCAAATCTTTTCCACGATGAAAGGCTAATACATTTTTTTATCCCAAAATATATTCTAAAGTAACCTAAACATATATGAAACAGGTGATTATTACTTATCACACATGTGAGTAGTTAGTGTAACACATAACTCATCATCACAGCATCCATCATCATCCTCCCTGTGACATTTTTTTCTCCTTCCTGTCCTCTGTTTAGACAGAAAATGACTACAGGAACAATCTGCAGCATAAAGACACTAAAAAAAAATGCAGTCGCTGAGCCGTCGCCTCACCTCTATGACTTCATAATAATTAGGAGGCGAGACTCCTCTCTGTATTAAATCAGCGCCATGCATTAATTCTAATCAGCACGTGTAGCCAGGCTTGACCAGCACGGCCCAAGGGGCTGTACCGAGTGTCTGTGTGTGTGTCTGTGTGTGTGCATCACGTACACAAGGCCAGCCATGCTGAACCATGCTCTTCAAGGTTCACTGCAGCTCTCTTGCTGCAGCCCAGCTCTCTGTGCACTTTTTGTCAGAGCAGGTGGTCTCTGACCTTTCCAGCAGCAGTCTCCTGAGTGAACCTGCGTGAACCTGACTGAGCTGTGGCCTTTTAACCAACGCGAGCACAAATCACTCAATGCATATCAGCTGTCATTTACTGTTAGTATCCTACTGGCGGGCCCTACAGATATGATCCTGTTCGGTGGATTTGACTGATGAATAATAATGCAATCTGATGTCCAAACAACATGTATGTCCCTTTGATGTCACTACAGTCAATGCATCGAGGCCGCTGAATGTCTGCATGTATTGTGTAATAAAAACTGTGTCTGGATAACAGTCCCCAGGATCAAATGAAAGTTTTAAAAGGAGTCGTCTGTGGTGAGGAACCCACAGAGAACCATCAGCTACTCTGCAGTTGGGTTTGCAGTTTGATTCCTGTATCATCAAAAATAGTCATCACAGGCGTAAGTGTGTAGGGAGCAAGTGACAAAAAACAGACTATTGGTCGGAGATTGGATTTAAAAACCCAGCACGACCACACAAAAGCAGTTTGGGGTAGCAAACACTTCAGAGAACACAAGATAGGAGGCTTTAGCTGCACTGTGGTGTGCCAAGCCCTAATCACATGCAAACAGTGACCGTCTACTCCCTAAAATCAAGCCAAGTTTTGCTCTAAACTGATTGGTTCGACCTGATTCGACTAGAAACAAGTGCCAATAAAGTCTGTCTGTGTTCAGGTCTCAGTACTTTTATATCCTGAATCTCACTGATTTGGAGTTCGGTTTCACGCTTTCAGATAGATGCCTTTTTTTTACTGTTTGCTGGGCACGCTCCTACCATATCTGAGCTGAATTTGAGCTGTGTTTATTTACTGCTAATGTATGCCAAACAGTTGACCCTTCCTAAGTCCCAGCCCTTCTTGCTCTGTGCTCCAGTGACAGCTGAGCAAGCCTCGGTCATGCTGTCCATTACACTAACTAAGATTTGACTATATGCCGCTTTTATCTTTTAACAGATGTTGCTTTAACAGAAGCAACATCCACGGTGGGCTGTTAACACTGCAGTTCTCCAACTCATCATCAAGGTGAACAACTCCTTTTACCTTGCTGTAGTATCCCCAACCATATGGAAAACACCAGAAGCATTCACCTACCTTGGATTTGAGCGCCCAGTACTCCTCTGTGCCATATTCCACATGTTTGAAAGCAGTCAGGTAGTCGTAGCTGATGACCGCCGTCTGCAGACAAACAGAGCAGTGACATGTAAAGAACTGTGTTAGGAGGTAGACTTTTACTTTGAAAACTACCCTTTAAAAACAATTACAAAATGAGCAAAAGCAAATAAAGTAATAAGTCCCCTTCCAGTCAAGGCATGTCTGTGCAGAGTTTGACTCTAGAATGATGTTTTCACATTGATCTACTGAAAGTGGAAAGTTTCTCTGTGCTCATTGAAAATCAGATTTTTAAGGGGCGGGGCTTACGGCTGGATGTTTAAGCGGCCTACCAGCAGGATTTGTGGACAAATAGTTGTGGAACTCGCAGTCCTGGGTCCAGCTATCAACTGTAACCCCCCCCCTGGTGGGTGATGTAGAAAACTTGAAGTCACACTGCCACATCCGACTGAGAATGGACGTTTACAAGTGAGTAGCGAGACGATGCTTGGTCTCCAGGGAACATTTTTAGAAATTTAACAAACATTCATTTTCAGGAGACTCTGGAAGTTTTAATTTAAGTAAAAGGGAGTGGGTGTGGCGTTTGTTAAGGATTTTAATGTGGGAGCTTTGTGCATGGGGAAGAACAACACCATATTGTTAAGCAGACTTCTTTGTATCATGCTGTCTAATTACATGCTGTAGCGGACTTTTAAGTTCAGGAAGCCTTTACTATAAAGTGTAGAACAACTGGGATGAATGGGGGGGATGACTTGGTTTCTGAAGGGGGCTTGAGTGACAGGATAAACAACCCCCTTTGGTGGCTGCATAGAATCATTCAAAAATAAGCCTTATATATTTGAATGATCTACAGCACCAGGGGGCTTACCATGGAGCAAGTTTAGTAGTCAAAATAAATGGGTAACCTATTTCCCATGGTGAAACTTTGGTGATTTAGTAAAAAAACAGACAAATCAATTCATATGTAATTATAATGGGCGTACATTGGTCGGTTTTGCTCTGTCCAGCTGAGTTCTGAAGTGTTCCTGCTCTGGAGCAGGTTAGCTGTGTGGCATAGGTTACCATGGTTATCTGAGTCTATTTCATGATACCTGTAAACCTGAGCAAAAGGCCATAGATAGCATTAATCTTGCTTCATGATACAGGCCCCTGAGCGCAAAAACGCACTACATGTAAAACGCATGACTACAATAAACAAACTGTGGGGGTGCGTAAAATCCACAACCCCCAAATCCAGACTCTCAGGGCAGAGGAGTGCAGTAACTCACAGCTGCTGCGGCTCGTCCGAAGCGGATCACGCTGAGGTCGTTGAGGTCCAGCTGTCTGGTGTAGAGGTAAAACCCGGAGGAGGCGAACACTGCTGTGGCCAGAGAGGAGACTTTGAGGAGTCGACCAGCCATCAGAGGCACTGCAGGAGGAGGGATGGACATGTTTACACACACCACAGCTAAACTGTCATTGCACGGGTCAAAGAAATGCATCTGACAAAGAAAACCTCAGACCCCTGCAAGGGGAGCAAGACCGTGGTCTGGTGAAAGCATCATGAACACATCCATGCAGGGAGAAGCAAGCACAGACTCATCTCAGACATCTGTGGTCTTTAAAAGGGGTAGGCTATCATTATTGTCACTAATACCATGGCCAAGAGCATGAGGGCCCTGCTCAAGACCCATCATTAACACTGTAATGTTAAAAAAGGGACAGAGGAAGCCGGGCCTCCCCCCACCACCAACACCACTACTTCCAGTCAAACTAATAAGAGAAGTTCCAGGGCCGTAGCCAAGATTTTAGAAATACTAAGGTCATGAGTCCAAGGTCAAAAGAATACCGGAGACATGACCTCCCCGATGGTAGCTCCAGCCCAGCATATCTCCCCCACAGGCACCATGTGGAACGCAACTGTAGTCGTATATGGTTAAAGGTGCTGTAAGCTCATTTTGTTGTCAACATGTGTGTTTACATAGCTCTACATACTGACAGCCATCACTGATAATGAGCGTTCAGTCAGTAACGTGGGTCTCCCAGTCCCTCCTTTCTGCAGTGAACAGAGAAAACATTTTATGCTATCCCGTTCTCACTTTATCCAATCAGAAGAGAGAACTCCAGTGAGAAGCCGGACACACAGCAGAGGACGTCCCTCTAACCAGCATGGAAAAAGAATGCTTACATCACACATCAAGGTCGTTAGGATCCTTGAAGCTTTGGCCAAGTCTTGCCATCTAACACCAAGGTAATTTAAATTTAGGAATAGGAAAGCACAATGTGGTACAAACACGATTTGGATATTTCACTTATTGCCATATTGCGATTTCGACACTATTTTGTGTAATTGTGCAGTCTTATTTAGGAGACGACTGTGTTTGTGACACTTGTGTGACCAAAATATGCAGAAGGACCAACCATCAGAGTATCTGGCTACACCACTGCTGCAGGCCTCTGGCCACGCTGTCCTCCACGCTGTCCTCCACGCTGTTAGCACTGTAAATATCAAACTGTGCTCTTGTCCAGCATCTTTGTGAAAATGTCTGAACAGTTACCTTTGGAAATGTAATACCGGACAGTGTTTGAAAGATGTGAATACAACAATATGTGCCAATTTCGTGCCAACTGCTTACTCCAGTGATATATAGCCTGGTATTGTGTTTCCACTAGTTGCAGGACACAAACTGAAAATCAGAGCAGCAGTCCCACAGAAATCCTGGTTTTGAGTCCAGCCTCAAAAACACTGACTCCTACATTTCCCATTATGCAAATCAATAGCTTATTTATATTGGAGCCCTCTTCCCTGCCTGGTAAATGCAGTTAGTAATACAGCCTATCTAAGGTCATCCTGAGAGCTTCAGTCAGACATCATCAAGGTTAGTTTATCCGAGCGGTCCTACCAATGAACGGTAAACTGAACTTCATCTGAAGAAATTAGTGGAATACCTTAAACAAATTCGCAATGTGCATTCATAAACTTGGCAATTAAACGCCTTCTTGTTTGTGCACACACGCTTGCATGCACTTTAATTAAAAAGAATACATTTTAGTCATCGGCAGAAGCCACTCTTCAATTCGGCTTACAACTAAACCGGCTAGTGGCAGTAATTCCCATATACGACGACCCTCAAAGCCAGTTCTCCTGTCATTCCCACATCCGTGTTCCCGCAAAAGTGAATGTGGACTGCGGGGAGGGAGAGAGGGTGTTAGTGCTGCTGCATGGTTTGGGTTTAGGTCAGAGCCTGGTTCTGTCTCTCGGTAGAACAGTGCGTTTAACTGTTACCTAAACACCACTTGTGTGTTACGCAAAGACTGGCTGCGTTTTATAACGAGTGTGTTCAACACGACAGTCACACTGCCACATACACACACTGAACCGTCAACTGTCACAAACACTTTATACAACTAGCTGTCTTACCAGTGTGTCCACACGCGTTGTCTGTCTTTGATTACCGGTTTTGTTTTGACCTCTTAGTTGAAAGGGGCCACCACGTGAGAGCAGAGAATTCTGGTTAACGTAGTGCTACCGGAGATGAAGGCCGCTACATTTTAAGTTACCACACTCGTACGGTACTGTGATACAGAGAGAGGTTGCCTTTATGCTGCCCATCAATATTATCTGGGAGTGTGTGTTATTATGGCACGAATATGAGCCTTCATTGTCGCCGTTTATGGTACATTAAAACTACACTTCCGGTCAACACAATGACGTTGTTGGCCTTCTAGCCCCGCCCACATCCTGTACGTCAACCGTGCTTCATTCATGACATGCCAATCGGATGCTTGCCAATGTAACAAAACGAAAAAACAAACCTGCAGCTGTGGTTGCCGGAACTGTACTGTAATAAATACGGTACTATTATGGTAAAAGGACATTAGTACTGTTGATTTTAACTTGTAGTTTTATTCCATATTTTACCGTATAAATACAATTTTACCATCAACAGAACCAGTGCCATGGGATATGATGGTGATTTCTGTGCAATTTACAGTCTGTAGTATAAAAAACTACCTCATTCTGTATAATTTCCTTTTCAGTGCTGTAGAAATCATAGCTTTGCCATAAGATATGAAACTGCAGTTAACCTATTTATGATTTGACCGTTTTTCACCATAAAATCTACAGACATTTTGGTTTTTTTTTCTGTGAAAGTTTGGTGGAGGATTGTGATGATCTGGGGGTGCTTCTGCAAGGCTGGAATGGGGCAGATTTATCTTTATGAAGGACTCATGAATCAAGCCACATACAAGGTTAAAGTGGAAGAAAACTTCCTTCTGCTCTGGCAATCTATCCCAACTCTGAGGATCGGTTTTCCCAGCAGGACAATGCTCCACGCCACACAGCCAGGTCAATCAAGGTGTGGATGAAGGACCACCAGATCAAGACCCTGTCATGGCCAGCCCAATCTCCAGACCTGAACCCCATTGAAAACCTCTGGCATGTGATCAAGAGGAAGATGGATGATCACAAGCTATCAAAGAAAGCCAGCTGCTTGAACTTTTGCACCAGGAGTGGCATAAAGTCCCCCAACAGCAATGTGAAAGACTGGTGGAGAGCAAGCCAAGATGCATAAAAGCTGATTGAAACTCAGGGTTATTCCACCAAATATTGATGTCTGAACTCTAAGTTAAAACATTAGTATTGTGTTTATGAACGTGTTTTTTTTTTTTTGCATTATTCGACATCTGAAAACACTGCATCTTGTTGTTTTGACCAGTTGTCATTTTCTGCAAATAAATATACAATACAATATTTTTATTTGGGCGAAAGTTCATTTTACTCAAATACCTATAAACAGTAAAACCAGAGAAACTGATCATTTTTTGCAGAGTTGTATTTCAGATATAAAGATACTGAGGTTGAAACCTCACCTTAACAGCTGACCCAGTGGGCATCAACAGAGAACCTGAGAAAAATGATAAAGCTGACAGCTTGACTTTGGATTTCAGTTTGGTTTCAATATGTGCAAGGTAACCAGCAGGAGTTTATTGCCCCCGGTACCCGAGGGTCAGTGTCACTTACTTGTGACCATGAATTTTCCAACTAATCCAAGAGTTGTAAAACAAAGGTACCCAGTAACTGTCAGACACATGTAGTGGATTAAAAAGTATTATACTTGCCTCTGAGATGTACTAGAAATACTCAAATAAAGTACCAAGAATTTGTACACTTCATTACAACGTTTTTATTGCCATAACCTGGAAACCAGTGATGTTTCACAAACCATACAAGTGGACATTACTATGTGCTGGAGATGGTGTTACAGGAAGTAGAACACCAGTGGCGCCAATAAATAAAGACATTACTACTAGACAAATCATTAAAATAATGACAACAACTCTCAGGCACAAATTCACTGAAGGTGTCCAAAAGGACGAACACTCTGGGGTCTTATAGAGACTTTAGAATGGAAATAGATACACCAATCCATGTGTACTGCTCAAAGTTTTCTTATGGTCCTCAAAAGAATTACAATTCCAGGCAGCTGAGAAAGCGAGAACAAAAACGCAGTCTTAGTGAAACTGTGCCTGAGAATAACGATAGTATGTTTGTCCATCTCAGCCAGCCTTCAGTTATCGTCACCGCTTTTGTCGTTCCTCTGCCAAACCGGACGTTTGTTTGTGTTAACACTGAGCTGAAAACAAACAAGGGAAAAGATCAGGAAATAATACATACAGAATATCAATCTACTTAGGTTGTGCCTCGTGTTATTTTGAGGGCTAGGGGGAAAAACATGTTTAAGCATGCATTTTATTCATCTTTCTATCTGCTAATATGTTAACATTAACTGAATTTCATGAATTTGGCATATGAGTGCATTTATTTGACAGCTGTGGACACTGAATAATGATAGCAATAATGCTATTTTTTCTATTAAAAAAAGAGTAATAAAATGAATACATGAAAAATAGAAAAGGGGGATAGTGGACATGAAAAGAGGTTAACTATAAAATAGGAAGGGGCAATAAATACACGTTTCACAAAAAGACAAATATCAGTAAAAGATCTTCACTATGGATGCACGATATGGATTTTTATTCCAGCCAATACAATAATCCATTATTAGCTGCTTCTCATGGCTGACAGATAACTACTCAGTTTTTGTATAAAAAGAAATTAATAACCTGCATTTTTACACACCTGATGTAAGAAAGGCTGAGATGCAGTGAGCAAAGATGGATGCTTTAATACTCATAGCTCCGGTCTCACCAAATCTAATTGATATCACTGTTGTTTACACAAACAGTTCTGACTCTTCAAATAGTCATTTCTTTTAAACATCTGTTGGCTTTTATAGAACATAAAGGCTATCAA